TGTAACAGGACTGGACCTGAACCACTGGACCGGCTGTCCTCCTGCTGTAACAGGACTGGACGTTCCTCTCTCTCTCAGCTCACTCCCCTGATACACTTGTACAGTCTACACACGCTCCTCGCTCCCTCCCTGTCTGTCAGGACATAAATCTGCCCCCTCAGCCCCCATATCAATTACAGAGAGTGAAAAACTCCCATTTCATATCCTAATGGACGCCTGGCCTCCGAGCAGCAGAGCCAAGATGGTGACGTCACCAGAGCAGGTCCGCAGTGTTTATCCTGGAGCCTTGAGCACCGGCTGGAAAATCTGGGACCTGACAGCCCTTCTCTGTCTTTCTATCCCTTCATCCCTCTCTCCTCCTCTCCCTCTGATTTTCAGATGCTTGTGCAGCTCTGGAGACCCAGCAGGTTCTGCGTACCGTCCTCTGATCACCTTCATTGATCACTATCGCTGATCAACCAATGATCACCATTGTCACTCCCTACAAATCAGCTGAGTTCAACAGTATCAGTCGCCACGGCTGAACCTACAACAGTACACCTATCTGATCAGTTGGAACCAACAGTCTTGATCGGTAGTGTTGTAGACTGGTTGTGTTTAACAGTCTTGATCGGTAGTGTTGTAGACTGGTTGTGTTTAACAGTCTTGATCGGTAGTGTTAGCCAGCACTGACAATATTGCAGGGTAGACAGAGACCGACAGATTACACTGCTGTCAGACACATGGACAAGCAGACAGAGAGCAGCAGGATTCCCATATAAGGTGATTTTCTTGTGTTTCAACAAAAAGGCACAAGTAAAAACACAGAAAAGAGGCCAGGAGCACCAGGGTTCAAGGTTTCTTTTGTCTGTATTAATCCAATTCTATACAGTCAAGAGTACAGGTCACGCACACACAGACACACGCGCCGTGCAGGTGCACGCACACTCACAGAACCACGGAGACACACCGACAACACAGAGAAACAAAGAGCCCCCTCTCTCCCCTCTTCACTGCAGAGCACAGACTACAGCGTACAAGGAGCAGAACAGAGCCTCAAATACAGTAGTAAAAAAAACGATCACCTTTATTTCCTCAGCATCATAAATAACAGCCGTGTTCTCCTACACTAGTCAGAAAACCACAGAGCTGATCGCCTCTGAGAACCCGTCAATCAAAAACAATTGATTATCCTGGAAGAGTGCTGTGGATGTGATCTGTGTCAGTGTTACAGGTAAAGACAGTCAGGCGGATGTATAGATACTGTACACGCTGTTAGAGATGCAGATCTGGCTATATATACAGAAAATCCCAGCTATAAATTGAATATATAGAAAAGAATGACAATCTAAAAGCAGAACCTGCCAGGACCAAATTACTTTATCTGGAAAATGAGCCTGGAGCAGCCTGATTTTGGGAAGACCAAAAGGAGCCAAACAACTTGAAAAAGAAAATGTGGGAAAGGGAATTTTTGAACCCTTGGTTGTAGTTTTGGATTGACAGGTTACAGAAAAACAACAACAATAACAACAAACAAACAACAACAACTTAAAAAACGAAATGAGAACGTTCTGAGAACGACCGTTCCCACTTCCCCTCGGCTCTCCCTCCCTGTTCCCTGCGACGCTGGCTGAACGAGTGAAACAGGAGGAGGAGGAAAACAGTTAAAAAAACAGTCTCGTCAACAAGCAGCCCTCTCACCAGCAAGGTGGGATCGGCGACGCCCCGTTACCCAGCATGCACTTCTTCCTGAACCAAGAGGTGCCCCCCCCACCCCCCAGAAACCCTGACGTCACAGTATCCCAGAAGGCTTTGCGTCGTCGCTCCCAGTCTTTTTACAGATCGGCGTCACGTCCAGGCGTCCTCGTCGTTTAGTCCTCGTCCTCCGAACGTCGGCCTGTCACATGGCACGGGCGCCCCCTGGTGGCGTCACTGAGAAACGGGACAAGAGGAGACCGGCGAGAGGCCAGGATGAAAACCGACGTCACGCCCACACGGTCCAGCCCCCCCCCCACCGCAGCGGCCGCACCCCGCTCCGACCTCTGACCTGCGCCGCGGTTGGCCGCCTGCCGCTGGGCTCCAGCAGCCCCGCCTCCTCGTTGGCCTTGTCAGACTTCATCTCCACGACGATGTCGTTGGTGTTGGTCTCCGCGTTCAACCTGGGGGAGAGGGCGGGGAAGGGGTCAGGCCAGAAACAAGCGCTCCTGCGCCCCGACACCCTCCTTCGACAGCAGCAGGGTGAACCCCGTCTCCATACTGGGGCGCGGGTGTGAAAGGCCTGCTCAGGAGACAGGAGCGCGCCCTGCTGGGGCACCGAGACTTCCCGACTTGCACCACAGTGGGATCTCTGTCCTGCGAGCGGTTTCCTGGGACTCACACTTCCTTCTTCTCTTGTCGTCCACACGGCAGCTTGCCCTTCCTCTGCAGGCAGTACAGCAGAGCGACCAGCAGGAGGAGCAGGAGAACACAGACGACGATGGCCACCACCACCCCACTGCTGCCTGACTGCTGCTTCCCCGCTGAGACACAGAGAGAGAGAGGGGTTCATACAGACACCCCGACTGGACACTCCAGTACAT